GGCGCAATTGTGATTATATAATGGTAAATAATTAATCACACACAAACAAACACATATATATATATATATATATATATATATATATATTTATATATTTTTATATATTTTATATCTTTTTAAATGTTGATACATTTTATTTTTAATATTAAACTCAAAAACTATTTAAGATTTATAATTATAAATAATCGTATTAGTTTCTTTTTTTTTTTTTTTTTTTTTTTTTTCCTTTATGTGTTCTTTTATTAAAAATGAAAATAAAAATAAAAATAAAAATATACATATATATATATATATATATATATATATATATATTTAAATTATTTGTAAAATGTTGTTTAGCACATTATTATATATATGCATTAAAAAAAAAAAAAAAAAAAAAAAAACATATATATATATATGATAACATATTATCATACTTTATATTATATTATATTAATTATATTATTTTATTTTTGCTTTAAGATTTTTGGGCTTCTTCTTTTTGTTTTCTTAATCTAATAATGGTTGACTTAGCAGCAACAGCAGCTGGGGTAGTTAAACTCCAAGCACCTCCGCAAACTTTTCTTTTGCATTTTTTACACTTCCATATTCCTACACAAGTTCTTTTTGTAGCAGTCTACATGAAAAAAAAAAAAAAAAAAAAAAAAAAGGGAAATAAATAAATATAAATATGTATGTATATATATATATATATATATATATATATTTCTGTTTACATACATATTACATTTAATAAATATTTCCTTTATATATATATTATTACCTTTCCACAGAAGGTACATAAATATTTGGCATGTTGCATTAACTCAATTTTTTTTATCTGTTTACGTAATGATGATCCGTACCTTGTACCATATTTTCCCGTTAAACCGACCTAATAAAAAAGAAAAAAAATATACAAACATATAATACAAGTATATATATATATATATAAATATATATAAATATATTTAATATAATCGTAAAATATATATTTCTTCGTTTATATATATTATATTTCTTCATTTATATATATTCTTCATTTATATATATTCTTCGTTTATATTTTTTTTTTTTTTTTTTCCTTTTGTACCTTTTTAGTTCTTCTTGACATTTTACTTTATTCTTGTTTTCTTTTATATTTTTCAAATAATTGATATTATAAAAAATTATTTATTTTTATATATATATATATATATATATATATATTCTTAATTATTTTTATCAAAAATTTTATTTCAATTAATTTTATAAAATATCAATAAAAAAATAAACAATAAAATATAAATATAATATAAAAATTATAATTTTATTATAATTTAAATTTATTATCTATCAAATGATGATGAAATCTTTTTTATAAGAGAGAGAAATATAATAAATATATATTATATAAATATATATAAATATATATATATATATATATATATATAATATATAATAAAAAAAAAAAATATATAAAATATATACATATGTTATAATAATAATATATATATTTAATACCCCACAAGAATATAAATTACATAATGCTTATATAAAATATAAATAAATATATTTGTACATATATATATATATATATATATATAAATATTATATTTTCAGGTTTGTACATAATATATTTATAGAATTTATATTTTTCCCCTTTAGCAAATGAAAAAAAAAAAAAAAAAAATTTAATATATTATAAATATATATATATATATTATATATATATATATGTAGGTTTATATTGAACAGAAAATTATTTTTTATATATAGCCTTTATTTTTTCAAAACCACTTTCTTCTCCCCTCTTATTTTTTTAGGTATACATATATATATTATATATGTATATATAATAATATATATATTATATTATATATGTATCATACAATATATATATACTTATAAATAAAGAAATGAACATCAAATTTTAAGAGGTTAAAAAAAAAAAAAAAAATATATATATATAATATATATATATTACATAATTTAGTATTACAATTATTTAATTGTATAAAAGAATTTATATATATATTCTTATTATCACATATATTTCTTTAATTATTTTTGCTTAAAAAAAACCAACATATTATTACCTTATGAAAAATGTAACAAAATTAAAATAGGTTAGTTGTATTATTTTCTTATTGTAAATCATTAAACTTATTAAATTTATATATATATATATATATATATATATTATATATATGTATATACATTTTCCTTATATCTCTCTTAAATTATAATATGAATTTTTTTTTTTTTTTTTTTTTTTTTTATTTTGTTACTACAATATAATAATATTATTGTATAAAAATGTGTAAAAGAAGAAAAAAAAGAAACATTATATATACATATATATATATATATATATATATATATATATATATATATTATATTTAATTAATCATCCAAAAAAAAAAATGTTTTTTTTTTTTTTTTTTTTTAAAAAAAAAGGTTACTTAAAAAAAAAAAAAAAAAATAAAATAAATAAAATATGTAAATATAAAATGAAATATTTTTTAAAGGTTACATACATAAATAAATTTTAATATATATATATATATATATGTGATAATATTTATATCTATGTCCTCTATGAAAATTTTAAAATGGGCACAAGGGGGGTTGTTACAGAAAAATAAATCCAGGATATACAAATATGTTAATATATATATATATATATATATACATATAATATATCGTTCTGTATACACTTGTTATAACTTGGTGTTAAGTGGTAGACAGTTTTGGGTGTTATTCAATTGTACAATATATATGATGGGAAAAAAAAAAGAAATAAAAGAAATAACAATTATATATTACACAAATGTATAAATAAATAAATAAATAAATAAATAAATATATATATATATATATATATATATATATATATATAATACAATTATTATAATATGATAATTATATATATATTTAACAACTTAATAATAATGTTCATTTATATCCGTTTTGTTTCCAACTGTGTTTCCATTAAGTTATAATTTTGATATATTATATTATGTTATATTTATTTTTATTATTTTTATTATTTCTATTATTTTTATTATTTTTATTTGTTCCTACTTATCTTTCTCTTAATCAATAGCTTTTCATCTTATCCATTAGCATTACCTATTCATCTTCTTTTTATCTATCTTTCAAATTTTCGTATGTTAATAGGATCCAACAAAAATATTATTTATAGGAATAAATACAAGCTTTATTATATATCCAATAAATCCCATAATCAAAAAACCAAAAGAGCAAGCATATACTATGTTTGTATATTCTTTTTTATTGGGCTTCGTACATTTTCTTATTAGCCTTACGCTATCCTCAACAAAAGTTTGAATACCATTAACACAATAACCTACTGGGTGATTTTCATCAGTTAAAAATTCGGGAATTTTAACATTCATCTTTTTATTAAAAACAAAAAAAAAAAAGAAAAAAAAAAAAAAAAAAAAAAAAAAAAGGAAGATATAATATATATATATATATATATTAATAAAATAAAAAATATTTATAATATATTTTATATATTTGAATATTTAAAAAATGCCCTTCCTTCAATTTAATATATGTATGTATGTAATATAATAATAAAATATTTATTTTTTAAAACATTCCCTTTTTACACTTAATTCTGTATTTTCTTCTTTTTTCTTGAGAACAAAGAGAAAATTTTAGTTACTGAATATATGTTAAATAAGAAAAAGTCATAAAAAATATATATATATTAAATATATATATTATATATATATATATATATATATATATATATGTATAATATTTTATCTTTTTATTTATTCATTTTATTAAGTATATTTTTATTAAAGCTTGAAAACTTACCCTTAATTGATTACAAATTATTTTTATTATTGTATTATTTTTTTTAATTTTTTAATTTTTTTATTTCTTTTTGTTTTTTCTGTTTTTTTGTTTTTTTGTTTTTTTGTTTTTTTTTGTTTACTTTATTTTATTATCTCTTCAAATGGTAAAATATGAAAATTTAAATTTAATCGAGTAGGGGAAAAAAAAAAAAAAAAATTATATGTATATAAAAAAATAAAAAATTATATAATATTATATATATATATGTAATATATATATATATATATATATATATATATGTAATATATGTATATATCGTATTTTATTATATTTTATATTTATATACACTTGTAAAATATATTTATTATTAATGTATATATTATATATGTTATATATATATACATATACATATTAACATAATCTTATAGTATAAACAATGCATACATATAATATATGTATAATAAGGTTTATAAATATTATATATATATTAAATATGCTAAACAAATATATATTATATATATATTATATATATATAAATATATTTTATTTTTTTATATATTTTAAAAATATACAACATAATTTTTAAATCTAAATATTTAATATTTTAACAAATGTTTTTACTTTATAATACATAATAATATATATATATATATATATATATAATTATATATATGTATTATATAATACACATAAGAAAAAAAGGAAATGTGAAAATTCATAAATACATATATCATATATATTTATATTTACCATATAGTTAATTTAAAGATAAAGTTTATTAAAAAATATATGTATGTATATATATATATATATATATATATATATATAATATTATGAAAATTATAATTATATTTTATATGATATAATTCAAATAAACATAAATATCATAATTTGGTTGCTCATTTTTTTTTTTTTTTTATAAGGGATATTTATATATAATATATGTTATAAAATCTTTGAGTAATTATGTTTTTCTTTTTTTTTTCTTTTTTTTTTCTTTTTTTTTTTCTTTTTTTTTTCTTTTTTTTTTTTTTTTTTTTTTTTTTTTTTTTTCTTTTTTTTTTTTTTTTTTTTTTTTTTTTTTTTTTTTTTTTTTTTTTTTTTTTTTTTTTTTTTTTTTTTTTTTTTTTTTTTTTCTTTTTTTTTTTATTTAAGAATTATAATAAGGAATAATATTCGTATGGTCTATTTTGTGGAACTCATTATCCCTTTTATAAAAATTAATTTCTTTTATATATAAGTAAAAAAAAAGAAAAAAACAAAAATATCATAAAATATATTTAATATATTGTAATTTTTAAGGATGTGTATATAAAACTCCTTATTTTATATAAAGATAATAGTGTGTCGTCATGTGAGGATTTTTTCATTTTTTCTTTTCTTTTTCTTTTTTTCTTTTCTTTTTCTTATCATTAAATAATAGTTACCACATGTTATTAAAAGTAAAACATACAAATGTTTATATATTTATTTGTATATTTATATATTATTTTACGTATTATTACTTCTTTCTATTATAACTCACTTTTTAATTAAAAAGTTTGAGTAAGCATAATATTATACAATTGAATGCTCACATAAATATATACAAAGTTTTTTATTTAACACACACATATGTATATATATATATATATATATATATATATATATATATATAGGTAATATTTTTCATTTGTAGATATGAAAAATATGCGTTTATTCCCTTATATATCTTATTTGTTATTCTTTATGTTATACTAAGATAAAATATTTTATTATTTTTTACATATATGTATTTATATTGAGTGGGCAAATAAGGAATAAATATAAAAACAAACAAAGAATTTACAAAATTATAAGTATTCAAGGAACATATTTTATTTTACATATATATATATATATATATATATATATATATATATATATATATTTCTTTTCGTAATTCCCGGTTGCATATTTTCCTTATATAAAAACATTTTTCATTTATATGTTGTTAAAATATTTCAAAAAAAAAAAAAAAAAATACTTTAATCCTGCTTTTTTAAAATATTAACATGAATATATTTTATGAAAGGACTATATATATATATATATATATATATTACAAATACAATAAACGTGTATAACTTATAAAATAAAAGGTATTTTTGATAAAAATAAAAAACGGGACATCAGCTGCAATATAACATAATGAGAAAAAAAAAAAAAAAAAAGAAGAAGAAATAAAAAACAGGATAAAATATGATAAGATAATATAACCTACATGTTTTATTATTTACATAATTTTTACAAAAAATAAAATATAATAAAATAATAAGATAAGATAACCATCATTTTTTTATAAAATATAATATTTCATAAAATAAATACAAAATTTTTATTTTATATAATAAAATGTAAAATAAAAAATATGCTCATAAAAAAAAAATATATATATATATATATATATATATATATAATATATATGTAGCACCTTACTACTATTTATTATTTATCCAAATAATATACATAAATATAATATAAATATATATATAATTATATACTTATAAATATTGTTATATATATTAATGAAGTAATTATAATATATAATATATAAATAATATATATTGCTTAAATAAATAAATAAGGTTTTCTTCTTTCAATCCCTTTATATATTAAAAAAAAATATATTATAAAAACAATATTTATGTATATATAAATTATTTATTAGTAAAATATGTTATTACCTCATTTTTTTAAAATATATTTATTATAATATATTAAAATATTATAATAAAAAATAATATATGTAACATAAATATATAATATATATTTATTTATATACGTATATTAAAAAATATCAGATAGAGAAAAAAAAAAAAATATATATATATATATATATATATATAAATAAAAAATATACATATATAATAATATTATTATATATAAATCTCTATGGCTTTTTTTTTTTTTTTTTTTTTTTTTTCCTTTTTAAATTTAATAAAAAAGGAAAATTATATATTTTTTTTTAATATAGAATAGGATATATAAATAAACCCCTCCTTTTTTTTTTTTTTTAATAAATTATATTATATATGTATATATAAATAAATATATATATATTATAATATAACATATATATTTTAATATATTCCTTTTTAACAATAATTATTTTAAATTTCTATCATTAATCTTGATATATATATATATATATATATATATATATATATATGCCGTTATTTTTATTTTAAATATATACATATATATATATATATATATATATATATATATATATATATATAATATATATTATTATTTTTATATATTTTTTCATTTGAATAATTTCAAAAAAAAAAAAAAAAAAAAAAAGATGGCATCAATGGATCATAATGCTCAAGATGAATTAGTAGATTATGAAGATGATGAGAATATATTAGATAGCAAAGATGTTAAAGGAAGTTTAGGAAATAATATTTTAAATAATAATAATAAGGGTGGAGCTATGAGAGGTAGTTATGCAACTGTGCATACAGGAGGATTTAAAGATTTTTTTTTAAAACCGGAATTATTAAGAGCAATAAGTGAAAGTGGTTTTGAGCATCCTTCAGAGGTACAACAAGAGACTATTCCCGCAGCAATTACAGGTAAACATATAAAATGTGGATATCCAATATATTTATATATGTAATATATTTATATATACAATATATTTATATATACAATATATTTATATATGTAATATATTTATATATACAATATATTTATATATACAATATATTTATATATGTAATATATTTATATATACAATATATTTATATATGTAATATATTTATATATACAATATATTTATATATACAATATATTTATATATACAATATATTTTTATATATATGATTAATTTTGATATGCACACATTTATATTATCCTATTTAGACGGAGAATGTACCTTTTATTGAATATATGATGATCATTAAATTTTGTGTATATATTAAGGAATTATATATTTATAAGATATAATTGTTATGTACATTTTTTATTATGACAAATCATTTGCATAATTTTATACAACCTGTACATATATATATATATATATATATATATATATATATATATATTTATTTATTTATTTATTTATTTTTATTTTTATTTTTATTTTATCCCTTTAGGAACTGATATCCTCTGTCAGGCCAAAAGTGGTATGGGGAAAACAGCCGTTTTTGTGTTATCGATTTTACAACAGCTAGATACGAATGAAAACCAAGATATGCAGGACACGAAAGAAATGAATAATGACAACAACAATAATAATGGAGACAATAAGTTTGTTAGGTGCCTTGGTTTAGCACATACTCGAGAGTTGGCATATCAAATAAAGAATGAATTCGATAGGTTTAGTAAATATTTAAAAAATGTAAGATGTGAAGTTGTATATGGAGGTATATCAATGAATAAGCATATAAAATTATTTAAAGAAGATAACATTCCACATATAATTATAGGAACACCAGGAAGAATATTAGCATTGATAAGAGAGAAGTATTTAATTACTGATAAAATTCAACATTTTGTATTAGATGAATGTGATAAATGTTTAGAAAAATTAGATATGAGAAGTGATGTTCAGAAAATTTTTATATCAACACCTTTAAAAAAACAAGTTATGTTCTTTTCAGCAACCATGGCTAAAGAAATGAGAGATGTATGTAAAAAGTTTTTACAAAATCCTGTGGAAATTTTTATTGATGATGAAGCAAAATTAAAATTACACGGATTATTACAACATTATGTTAAATTACAAGAAAAAGATAAAACAAGGAAACTTATTGAAATCCTAGATGCTTTAGAATTCAACCAAGTTATCATCTTTGTTAAATCAGTTACAAGAGCTATTACACTAGATAAATTATTAACAGAATGTAATTTCCCATCCATAGCTATTCATGGAGGTCTTGAACAACAAGAAAGAATTGAAAGATATGATAAATTTAAAAAATTCGAAAATAGAATCTTAGTATCAACTGATTTATTCGGAAGAGGTATTGATATTGAAAGAGTTAATATTGTTATCAATTATGATATGCCAGAAAATTCAGACTCTTATTTACATAGAGTAGGACGTGCTGGGAGATTTGGTACCAAAGGTCTAGCCGTTACTTTTGTTTCTTCACAAGAAGATACTTTGGCATTGAATGAAGTCCAAACAAGATTTGAAGTTGCCATCTCAGAAATGCCAAATAAAATTGATTGTAATGAGTACATCAATCAATAAATGAATAAAAAAAAAAAAAAAAAAAAAATATATATATATATTTATATATATATATATATACATATATATATATATTTATATATATGTATAGCTAGCTATCGTGGACATATATTTATATGAACAACTAGCCAAAAAAAAAAAAAAAAAAAAAAAAAAATATATATATATATATATATATATATATAAAAGAAAAAATTTCTATATGTATTGATAGAAAAAAATAATGTACACACATATATGTTTATATATATATATATATATGTATATTTTCATTCCATGATATATATAATACCTTTTATTGTACAACTTTATAATAATATGCTATTTTATATGTTTATAGTTTTATATTTTTTATATTTAAAAAAAAAAAAAAAAAAGAAGAAGAAGATTTATATTTAAATATATCTAATAAAAATGTATTTATAAAACAAATTTTTCCTAGCAAACTTATATGAACAATTTGAATTTATAAAAATTCACAACATGCAAAAAATTTTATTTAAAAATTGCTTGTAATTTTTAAAAATGCATACGAAAAAAAAAAAAAAATACATACATATATAATATATATATATATATATATATATATATATATATATTTATATGTGGTGAATCGATTTGCTTCCATATGATATGTGAATGAAAAATGAATGAAATATTAATCTTAACTTTTTATTGTAATATTATATATTTAAAACTTATATATGTATAAGAAAATTTAAAATAAAAATGTATAAAAAGACAATTATTTAATGTTTAAAGGGAAATACTGTTCAATACGCGTTCTTATAAGGGTACATTTATAGATATATGCTGCGTATGTTATTTTTTTATATTTTTAATTTATTAATGGAAGAAAATTATGACTAGGTAAGGGTACAACATTTATAATATATATATATATATATATATATATATATATATAATATTTAAAAAAAGAAGATTGATTTATCTATTTTTATATATTATATATAAAAGAAGTTATTATTTATAAATACTTTACAAATTCACAAATTTTATAATAATAACGAATTTGCATTTTTTTAAAGTAACATACTTTTATTATATTAAGTATAATTATGAATGTAAATTTTATTTTATTATAAATATGTATATTTTTCTTTTTAATATGAAATTTCAGAAAAAAAAAATTTTTTTTTTTTAAGTGCATGTTACGATGAAAAAAAAAAGTTAAAGCAGAGGAAGCTTATATTATTTCTTACTCTTGGAGTTATTAATATATATATATATATATATATATTATTACAAATGAATATATGTATTTATAATATATATATAATATTTTATATATATATGTTAACAACGTAAAATAAAATAAAATAAAAATAAATACGTATTATTATTATATTTTAATATATATATATAATAATATAATTGTATTTTATTTTATATGAACATATTTATGAAAACAATTTTTATGATTTGTAAAAAATATATCATTATTAACAATTTTTAAAATAACATTAAAAAAAATTTAAATGATAAAATTGAAGGCAATGAAAAATATATTATTT